ATAATAAAAATGTAGATGAAAAAATATTTTAATAAATAAAAAAAATAGTTAAATTAATTATAAAAAGAAAAAAATTTAAAATAATAAAATATGAGTAAATTTATTTCTTATCTCGGATAAAATAAATTATTTTTCACCCCTTATAATTTTTTTTGTATACATTTTTTATTAACAACAATTATTATAAAAAAAATAGCATTTATCAATATTTATTGTTTAAATTCTGCACCAAATAAATGTAATAATTAAAGCCAAAATATTGCAAACATGCTATTACTATAAGATTAACACGATCTCATGCTATTACTAAGTGAAACTAATAAATAACACTTTGATCTCACACTATAAACACGTGATTAAGTATTGTAATCTAACCCTTAGAACAAGTGCTAATATAATGATCATATTCCCTACATAAATCATACTTATAACATCTATCAGATATTTTTTATTTGCCTTCACCTTTGCCTTTTGAATCTAATTTTTCAACAGATGGCTTCAATCATTTTATTAATGATCTTCCTTTAGGCTAATGCTTTAATGGATCTAAGATCTAATTAAAATTGATCAATACTCCTTTTATATTATAAAGAACCTGATGATCATTCATTTTTCTATCCACTAAAACTTTTTGTTGCTTAATCAATTCTACTTGAATTAGTTGAGCTTCTTTTTTTTTATTAAAATCTTTGATAAATTGAATCAGTTTTTCATTATCATTTTGAATTGCAAATTGAATTGCCTTTTTGGCTTCGCCTATTAGAGTATCAAGTTTTAATTGATTTCTTGATATTTGCTTGAAATACCTTTCTGAAAGATCATTTATGATATATTTTCAGACAAATTCTAAAGTGATTTGTGTACCATTTTGATCATTTTGGCCATTACTTGTAATTGTCTCACTAGAATAAGTATCGCTTGAATTGATATATTTATTCTTATACTAACACTTAGAAATCAATGTCAAATGAAAATATGCATTAGAAGATTCAACAAATACTTTAAAGAAATACTTGCATATAATACCATGAGTAACAAGCATAAAAAAAGTGCATAAGTATTCTTCAGTATTAAGTAGAATTATATATTGATAGCATTTTGGGTAATTGTATTGAGAAATCTTCCAAATTTCTAAAATATTGTTAAAACTAACTATCAAAATTAAGACTTCAAGTCAAGCTTCCAATCTTCATCAGCTTTAATAAAAGATTTAGCAGAATCTTTTACTTTATCAAAGAAAGGTTCAAATGAACCATCATTTGATATTAGAATTTCAGAAAATTGTACTTGATGTATACAATAACATACAGATTGACACATTTGTTTATAATATGCATCGTGAATCGGCTGTGTGAGATATTATTTATGATACTATCAATACTACTAAAGAATGTTTGTATGATGAAAGGTTATATGTATCATAATGTTAAAGCTTTTCAGATTAAATAACGATTGTTAATTGATTTAAATTCTAACTGATTTTCAAGAGATTCTTAAACTTGTAAGAGAGAGAAATTTGACTGCACAGCCTTTTTTATTAATGCATTTTCTGATTCCACATACTGTGTAGATTGCGTTCCCACTGTAAAACGTTGTAATGTAAAGTATTTTACCTAAGTATGCTTTTGATTTAATAGCATTATGATTATATATTTACTTTCCGCCTCATATTTTTTAACTATTCCTTTGGTTCATTTTCAAATACATTTTCGCAATAAGAGCATTGAATTCCTTTAAAATCTTTAAGGAATTCCTGATAAAGTGATGATCCTAAATATAAACAAAGGTTTTTTAGAAGATTTTGATAGAGATGGTATAAATATTGCATATGATGAGTCTCTAAAAAAAATAGAAATGGCTGCAATCATTGTGGGATCAGCCTCAATAATAAATGTTAATAAAGGAATTTCACATGCTTCAAGACAACATCAAAGCAACTATTTATATGATTCTTGTCTTTCATCTTGCATGAATACTTGAGCTACCAATTTACTCTTATTATAGTTATCGATTAATATGAAAAAACTTAACGGATAGTTATATTTATTCATTCTTGCAGTATTGTCGTGAATAATGATATCATAAAATTTTGTCTACCTTTTACGCTGCTCTGGTAACATTCAAAAAATACCAACTAACTGGTTACTTGTATTATCTATTAATAGCTTTACAAACTATACAGAATCATTAGCTTGCAATTTAAGAAGCTTCATTAATAAAGGTGCTGTTTCTTCTAAATTTAATCCCTTTTCTCATTTAATTTTTTGAATTGCATTCCCTAGGTCTTGAGTAAGAAACACACAATCAGGATACTTTAGTTAAAGAAAGTTTCTAATTATTCTTGCATCACATTGGCCATATACAACATAAAATTCTATCTGTTCTATGATTTCTTTAGAAAAATTTTTGTAAGTGATAGAAAATTTCACAGTTTCAATAGAAATCTTATGGTTGTGTTCATTATTAAATGATGTTACAGTTGCTATTAGTAAATTTGATTGTCTATTAACGTTTACTTACCACATATAACCTTGCTTTTTATTTCCTTTGCTTTTTTCTTTACCTAATATCAGTCTTGAATGTTTTTCAACATACCTTTTCTAAATCACACTTAAATACCCTTTTTCTATAAGTACTATCTGAAAATTTTTCAGTCTTGTGCTTAAAGATGGCAAAGTTATTTTAAAGAGTGTATTGTTCTATAAAATATATCACGATTTCCATAGAGTGAAACTTAGTTTCTAACTCAATTTCAATCAGAGTATTGATTGGTAAAAAATACTATTATAACCTTCAAATTTAGAGCCTAATACATCTCTAAAAACATACTCTTCTTCATCATTATTATTATTGATAAGTTTTATAAAGGATGTAGTATCGCAGAAAATGATTAGCGTAAACACAAAAGAAAAAAACATGAATGTTTGATAAGTAAATAAAGACTTTCTATAAAGGCTTCAGAGGTAAGCATGTTTATAATATTAGAGCAGATAGAGTAATCATTTATTACTTATAATAGATATTAAAGTGATACTAAAATTGTTTGAGAAAAAAAAGCTCAAAAAAAAATTCAGAACACTACTGGTAAAAGAAATTGGAGAAAGAATTTTTGTAAGGAGAAAAAATCTCTGAAGGAAAAAAAATCTTCAAAAAAAGAACTTTAAGGAACACCACTGGTCAAGAAACTTCAAAGAAATTGAAAAGAATTTTTAAAAGAAAAAAAAATTTTGAAGAAAAAAAAACTCAAAAGAAAGGAGCAAATTGTTAACACCAGTAAAGAGGACTTCAAAGAAAAATAACTTTCAAACTTCTCTTTTCAAAAAAAATATAAAGAATAAAAAATGCTGGAAGAACAACAAAAAACTTCAAACCTCTAAAGAAAAAATCCTTCAAATTTAAACCCTTTACAGATTGGAAAAAAAAACAACTTCTCAAATTTTAGTAGTAAAAAAGTCAGAAACAAACGGTATAAAACTCTACACTTCGTTACAAAACCTTTTGTTACTGTTGGAAAAGAATCATTGTGGCTTAAAAAGCAAAGAGTTTTATGCATAGCTATTTTTTTTATTTATTATTATTGAAAATTTAACATGACGCAATTTATCAATTAGTCAGTCATGTAAATATAGGTGAGAAATCATCCAAGTGAGGAATAAATTTTCTCTTATTTATATTATATTATCAAATACAAAAAAATATGTTTTATAATTATTTTTTTAAAAATATGAAACTGCTCTTTGAAGAATAAAATATAAAAAATACTAATAAAGTACTTTTTTAATAAGTTTTTTATGTAAAAAAACTAGAGATCTAAATGTAAAAAAGCTAAAAAATAAAATAAAAAATATTATTTATTATAATAATATACAAGTAAATTAATAATAT